GAAATGACTTCCTAGAGCTAATTTTAATATGAAGCGGGGATATGTAATGCCTATGTATAGGCGTATTGCGAAACTCTCTATATATGTAACACTTGACTGTATAAATTTAAAGCGAACTGCCAAGTCAGGTGCGCACGACTTTGGTGGGACTACCCCCCATGCTGCCCAGTGCTGAATGAACATACCTACTTTACAATCTCACTGATTGTGGAGTCTGTTTTCCGCACGTCAGAACCAGCAAAAATCACATCTTTGGAGGGAAGAGAGGGAGAGTTGCTGCTCCTTGCACTCCCCCCATCCTAAATGCTTTTTCTTCTTACTTTGCTTGTGTTTAAGAATATTAGCATTTAAATGACCCCTGCTAAGTGGTGATATCAACACCTTGTTGACAGGAACAGGGAAGAGGAGACAGTATTACTGGGTTTTGTTTGGCAACCACTCTTGTAAAATGTGATAAAAAGTAATTCCAGCAGTGGATTTATATTTCCAAATGTTCTTCAGAGTATCAAGCTGGGCAAAACTAATTTTTTTGTTGTTTTGTTTTTAACTCCAGACAAAAGTGTAGTATTTGAGGAACCAGCAGAAATAAAGAGAAGAGCTTAGAATCTCCACTTCTGCGACTTTCCAGGATGTTTTCATCTCTTGCACTGTGGTGGCTGTGGGATGTTGTAGTGGCTGTGAGGAGTGGGAGTGCTGCCGCATAGCATAGTAGTAATTTTTCAGATTTCATCCAAATAATTTATTTATTCAACCTCATGGCCAGAGTGTTTCCCAGAATTCATTTGTATGTGATAGCCACACCTGATACAGACAGAAGCCAGAAATACGTACTCCTGTGTATTTGTCTTGTCATATTTCTAAACACTGCCTGTTATCCAGAATGTGGGCTATTCTTGTGTTTGCCTGAAAAGTAGTAGCCAAATACCAGTTTAATGTGGTTAGCAGGTCCTTCATCCACCATCCCATCAGTTTTTCTGTAGAGGAGGAAGTTCTTGTGAACATCTTCCACCTTTGCTAATAATGGCCCTCACTGGGGCCATGCTGCATGAAAAGCTTTTGTCCTCAGTGGTATTTTTATCCTACTCTGCGTGTGCTTAAACAGTGTGGGCTCGGAAAAGTTGGTTGCAGTGAAGTGGTGTGACTGCTTTAGCTCTTGGCTTGGTTAACTCTGGTGGGTCCACACTGGCTTCCACACTGGGATGACATTTTAGTTGTTTTCCCCAGTGCAGACAAGCCCTTACTGTGCACTGGGTGTTAGCCCAGCTGGGGTTTAGATTTGGGGTATCTTTGGTCCTTGTATAGCAATTTTTGACATGAACAGATAGGAGTTGATCTGGTCGGGTCCTTGCTAAGCTGGTGTCCGCTGGAAGCTGCTTGTGACATAACCTGCAGTATTTGAGTAAGTATTAAGTCTGTGTGGTTTGGGGAAGTCCAAAGGGAACTGCTGCTCCTCGGGATTCAGCTGGAAATGTATCACAAAGTTCCTTTGAGGCCAAACAGGGAATGTGTTATGGTAGCAAAATGTCTAAACCGGTAACTTGTTGTTATTGTTTATTTTGCATTATGTTGGCATTTGTTTTGAGATTTCTCCCTGTATAAAAGATGTTGTCTGTTTTTGTCATTCACCACTCTAGTATATGAACCTTTCACAAACACTATTTAATTTACCCTCAGAATGATTGTGTTTTGGCCGTGATTTTGTTCCTATCTGTGCAAGTGCAATTGAGGGATGGTTTTTTAAAAAAAAAAAAAAAAAAAAAAAAAGTATTGAGCTAATTACAGTGTCTAGATCAGCAAGGCTTTCAGCATTTTTGACCATACCTGTGGTAATTCACCCAGGAAACATTTTACAGAACTGTCTGGTTGCTACCACATAGTCAGTGCTCTAGAAGAAACAGCAGTTTATATATATATATATATATATATATATATATAAAAAGAGGAAAGCTGGTGAAGGTGGCAGACGATACTTGTTCCTTTCCAGGCTGACTTGCTGGAAGAGTTAGCTTGGCTGCTGCTTCAGTGGTAACTTTAGCGTGGTCTGTGGGTGAATATGAGAGGAACTCCTGCTCATGCCAGGTCCTTCTGTATTAGGTTTTTGGTTTGATGATGGGGTGAAAATAGCACTCACACCTTTAGATAACAGCTCCAGCTGTTCAGTTGTAAAAGTCTTATCTATAATCATCCTGTACCATGTTGCTGCAACATTGTATGTCCTAGACTGGTTGCTGCTTTTATCACACTTCCCAAAACAACAGAGATTAGTAGAAATTATTCTGTCTAACACAGTGGTTATCTTTCCTCTCAAGTCAAAATTTGTTGTCTTTGTATTGCTTTACCAGAAAATTCCTCTATGATTCAATTATTTCTCAATATTATTCTAAATTTATATTTTCTTGTACATTGCACATCTTCTGACCTCAAGTTAACTGATTGCCAGTTAACTCAAGATAGATAAGAGTTCTGTAACAGCTAAGAGTCTCGCTGTCTAAATGTTTTGTTCTAGGACTCAGATGTTTGTTCTTTAATCCCTGGGCTCAGTCATGGAGAAAATGCACCTGATTATAGCCTGTTGTGAAAAATCTCTGACAAAACTCAGTTTGCCCTTTGAAGTGCTACCAGTTTGCAAACACCACGCTTGTTTCTTTTTGATGGCAGACAGGCACAGCACCAATTTCAAGTTTACTTGTTGCTTAGCCAAAGCCAGCACCTGGATGAAAAGCAGCTGTTTTAAAAACTGGACTCAGAAGGATGCTATGAAGTTTTGCTGGCAAGTGCTGCATAAGGTTGCTTGGATCCATGCACATTTGGGAGATGACAAAACCCATTTGTGGTGGTGGTTGTTCTTGTTAGGGTTTAGCAGAGTCTGCTGCAGCAAGGAAGTGCTCTGTTTGCAGAAGCTCAGGAATGACATTCTGCTGAAGTTGGGATCTCCTACTGTGGGAAATGCTTTGAAGTTTTCTGCCCCTAAAAGCATGTTGAGGGTAACTTTCTCCCCTTTTCAAGGTGCTCTGATCATCAGGGTGCTTTTTGTTTACTCATTGTTACTGACTCCACAGATAGCTGTTGTAGCATAAAAGAATCGAAGCCGTGATATCCCAAGAACAAAATCTTGTCACTTTTCTCATTTGAGCTAGGCTGTAGCCCAATCTGTGCTTGGATACATGGTAGACTGTGCCATCATTACCTTCAGGCATGAGTATTGCAGCTCACAGCTAGCAATGAAGGATTTCAAACCACTTTTCCTGTGATGTACTCTCTGTGTTTTCTCCCCTGATGGTTACACAAGCCAGCCCAAAAGCTGCCCTCCCTGAGACTGGTCCTTCTTGAAGAAATTCTGTAGATAGGCTCACGTGGTCTCTGTAGAAAGTGCAACATTACTTATGCATAAACAGAATGGAAAATGCAAGGTGGGAGCAGTTACTGCTATACCAAAAGGAAAAAAAATAAATAAAATCTAGCCAGGTTCTGGGAGAGAGTTGAATCAGTGGTTGGAGAGCTTGGAGTGCTAGAGCTGTTGTGGGCTGAACGACATGGCAACAAGTGCAAAGGGGGAAGACCTGGGGAGGAGGGGACAGGGAGGAAGGAGGGACCTCTTTGTTCTCCTTTTGAATAGGAGTCTGCCTGGTGTGGAGCTGCAGCCAACTGTCTGAAATAAAACTGTGAAATAGATTTAGGAGACACAAGAAGGGATTAAGTAGAAGATGAAATTTTTTTGTTTGTTTGTTTAAGTGGTGTTTTAAAAAGAATTATTTATCTTGGATACCATTTTTACCATTAATAGTCTCTTTCTTCAGCTCGCTTAGTAGCATAATCAGCAGTTCTGAAGCCAGTTATTAGCAGGAGGATGACTTGCAAATTGTGATTAGTGGGCTACAGCTTTCAAATGCACTTATTATTTGTCCCCCTGCCCCCCCCCCTTAATATTTGGCTTCCAGTTTCCTGAATATAGTAATACGATGCCATAGCTTCTGGTTTACCAATGAGACACAACAGTGTATATCTTGCGTGGAAAAATAGGAAATGCCTAAAATAAAAAAAACTCGTGGGGTGCGTGAGACCTCTTGCTGCAACTAGGAGCCAAGTGTTTTGAAAGCTACTAGGAAAGCAAGAGAATCACACTGAAGTTTGGGTGTGTAGCTTGGCCTCTTAGAATCCGAATCAGTAAGTGACATTCTTCTGCAGGTCATTGTCTTTCTCAAGTGAGTTGATTCAGCATCTTGGGTCTAGGCATGTCCATCAGTGTGTGAATTTAAAGAGCAAAAGAGCTATGAGTGAGCCTGCACGTTCTGTTGGAATAAGACTGCTGCGCTGTATTTATGTGTCACGGAGCTGGTGCAAGATAGTTTTGAGTTGTTGAGTAAATGTGACCCTGTGGTTAAAAACCCAGGGTAAATTTTTTGCCTCTCTTCGAAGTCAACGGAAAACTTGTCCCTGACTTCAGAAGGTCAGGATTTTGGTCTGTGTTGGTCCTAACTACACAACAACTTTCAACCATGCTGACAACTCTGACATCGGTATTATTGATGGAGACTGGAAGTAAATAAAAGAGATTTTCAGGAAACGGACTACATGTCATAGCAACGAGACAGAAAATGCTTAATGTGTAAACCTTCATTGTTTTGTACCAAAGACTTCTTTTACACAAATACTTAACTAATTTAGGATGCCTAGACATGCTTTAATAGTCAAGAGAAACAGGTTTTTGAGAAATCTGATATATTTCCCCTATTAACTGTCTTTTCTCTTCTGCTTTTTTCCTAACAGAGGTTAACACAAGTATTCTGAACAAATATTTGGAATTAATTTTGAATGTTCTTTACCAGTTACTGAACTGTTTCTGTTCATAGCAAATTGTTAGTGATTTACTGCCTCTTACTGTGTGTCTGTCTTTGAATTTTATGAATCAAGCATGGATGTATGTGTGGGGGTGTGTATGTGTAGGTAGAGTACAGATGTTTTAAAGTGTGTCTCCTCACGTGCAAGTTTTAATTTTGCAGACGATATCAGAAATTGCAGAAGATAATGAAGCCCTGGTAAGAACCTGATTAGATCATCACCTTGCACACTGCCTCTTCTTTTGCATGACTGAGTTCAGGCCCTTGTGCTAATCTTTATATGTAAATACAACTGCGCATATTCATTCAGCAAGTCTTCAACCCTCTCTGTTTTCTGCTCTTTGATGCTTGTTAAAATTTTCTGATGAAGTCTTTTTTGCTTTGCTTGTGGAATGAGTGCTTCGTTTCTGTAACTTCTGTAGGGGCTTCTACTATTCCCGAAGTAAAGGCTTTTGTTTTGTTTTCTTAATTTAAGCAAACAATTTCCCGCCTTCCCCAGTTCCCCTCTTAAATTTGTCTGGCTTACATGGTTGGTAGTAGGCAACTTTAATTGTTGATGTTAGTGAGATGAAAGTAAGAGTCATTGTGCCAGTTTGAATTCCTATTATTTGCTGGTCCTAGGTAATGCTAAGTGTTGCAGTTAACTGCGTAAAGGAAAGCTGCAATGTAGTAAAGGGCCTCATATCAGAAAGTTCAGAAGCATGCTTATTTCCCTCATGATTTTGCATGGAACTCTTCTGTGTGCTTCAAGTTAAGCACAGGCTTCATAGGCTTTGATAAATTGGGACCCCAAGAGATACTCTAATATCTTGATTGGCTTGCAGATTTGGCATCTCAAGTATAACTAAAACCCAAGGAAGCAAAAGAATAATTAATCAGTTAACCGTACATCTGTTACTCTGAGAGCTTGGTGTGGTTTATCATGCAGGAAATGCAGCTCCCCATCTGAATCCATGATAAATCATACTTTTGCAAATCTGCTGTAAACCAAGTTCTAAAACATTCATTTTTAAATCATTGCCTAATAAATAGATTAGACAGTAAGAATAAATTTGGCAGGAAACTTAGATCCTTCCTGTACGTTTGCTTTCTCAACCTAATGCAAAATAACCTGTTTCATAATAGAAGAGTTTAGATTCTGAGGAAAATGATTAAAATGGCATGAGGCTTTCAGAATTCTTGGCAGCATCACCTCTGCCGAGACAAGGTACCGCCTGTGCATTTAGATGGTGGGGTTTTCCTCACTGCTGTGAAAATAGTTCTATGTGGAAGAATAGTTATACTCCTTCAGCATATCTTTGCTTCTGAATTCTGTTACCCTGTAGGCTTCTCTACATTAAATTATGTGATTGTCCTCAAGACAGTATTAAAATACTGACTTACAGGTGCATTGCACCCTGGTTTTAGAACCTGATCATACTGATCATCTGGCTTGCCTTTTTTTTTTTTTTTTGACACAGTTTAGTTTTGTTTACTCATGGGAACAAGGCACTACACATTTTAAGAGGATTCTTATTGATCAGTGTGGATATAGCACGTAAGTGGATGCAGTAGTAAAAAAAGTGTATGTGACTAAAGTTTATTCTAACTTTGGAAGTTAAATTGTGCCAGCAGAAGCTTCAACTTACATCAGGATACACAGTTTAGTATTTTGATTTCCATCAGTAGTATGTGAAATGATACCATTAAAATAACACAGATTCTTGAGTTTGGGACTCAAGATACCAGACCCATTGGTCAGGACGTGAAACCAATAGTTCTGGAAGCTGGCCTGTTTGTACATTTTGAAGGCGTATGCACTAGTGCTCTATGAGTGTAGTTATTGAACATCCTGACTATTTTTCACCCGTGTATTAATGGGAAGAGGTCCAATGAAACAAGAACTATAAACCCCCCCAGCTTGATATAATGAACTAAACTAAAACTTTGCAACCTCCACCTGCTATCTTCTTGACTAAAGAAACGTAAAGAAACCAAATGCTAATTAAAAAAAAAAAGTTACTTTTGATTTACAGGATGATATATTTCATAAAGTGCCAGTATTTCATTTTATCTCTGGTAGCTTGCACATGCTAGCCTGACTTAATTAAATCCTGATTTTCAGAGAAGCTTTGTTTAATAGCTTTCTCTGCTGAAGGAAGTTTTTCTTCTAAAATGTGAGTTTCTTTTTCTCTGTCTTTTCAGTTTTAGGGGTTCCCATTTTGTTATGTTGGCTAATACTTGGATTTTTAAAAAAATATAAATAATTCCCATGAAACAGCTCTATTAATTGACCTTTGCATTGCAGTACTGAATTGTAGTCAAACCACGCTGATTAGAGAGTGATGTTTTTCCTGTGTAGTTAGTTATTCCTGGTCTGTTAAGAAAAGCTGGTCCACTTAAGGAAATTACTATGAAATGAGAAAAACTAGGAATTTAAAAGATGGGGAATAAGAGAAAAGGTAATTCTAATCACATCTGCGTGAAGAACCAGTGTGTAATAGTTCCTCTGGGCTAGTTTCCCATGCAGACAAATGCTTAATGTACCTCAAAGTGGATTTAGTCATACGCCATAAGAAGAGTATCTACACCTGGATTTATTCAAGAATAGTTACAGTTCTGTTTAAAATTCGCAGCTTGTTTTCTTTAATCAGAGTTAATTTTCAAGCTTAGAGAAGCCCTGATACCAGGGTTACAAAGCTATTTCAGATTTTTGGAATGCAAGTAGCTTAAAATCAGTAGGGCTGATCTCTTGTAATGAGCGCAGTGAAACTGTATGGCAAAGACATATTTCCATGGTGCTTGGCACCATGAAAAAAAATAATCTGTGTCAACTGCAGTGTAGCAGTTAAGTGCATTTTCTGTAATCATCTAGAAAAATAGGGGCAGGTGCCCCACATATTGTTCAGTCATTTTCAGCTGTACTGAGTAAGTACCAAGTAGGTGTGAATTGTTCTTAGCTTGATTTGATGGTGGCTTAGCTTCACCCTTGGAAAGGTTACTTGAAGAAACAAGGCGGTGTAGAAGCAATGAAGAGGAGCCATAGCAATAAAAAAGGTACTTGTTCATACTGTGCTTGCAAAGCATCCTGCTGCATCATCAGTTTTAGACTTACTTAGGTTCTTGCCCCCATGGCTTTTCCAGAGCTCTTGTCCTCTGATGATTAGATATATTCTGCTCCCCTGTTTAAATTTATTCATGGCCTTTTATCCTTGACAATTCTAACTTAAAAAGCTGTTCTTACTCTTTGATGTTGACCTCAATAATGTCAGGCCTTTCAGCTGCCCAGTATTAGTCTGTAAGCACAGTTGCTGAATGATAAGGGACTTAAAGTTAACCGCTTCCTCAACTCCTGCATTTGGTAGTAGCTGCTACTCTCTTGTTGCCTCTTGCCAGTTAAAGTTGTTTCTTTGCTGCCTTCCCTCTGCACAATTAGAGATCAGCTTTGCTTCTGTTTTGCCCATGAAAAAAATGCTTTGTGTAAAGAAGTACTGTCTTTGGCTTCTAGTCCTAATGGGCTGGTGGCTGTATCCTGGTTGTGACAGACAAGCAACGGTTAATTTCCAGGTTCTGCTATGCAACTTTTACCATATAAAACATCAGACAGTCCACCTAGCTTTGTAAAAGCTTATATTGCTTTTTTTTTTTGTGTTACCCGATGACAGCTGAGCCTGACTAATTATCTCAATTTAAATAATCATTTAAACAGCTGAATATTTTTCTGTCCTCAATAACAATAAAATGTTCTTTTTCGTATGTGTGTTAAACAAGGATTGAGTTGTTTGTTTTTTTTTCCCCTCCCCCCAAAACCATCTAGGGGATTTGGGTGCTCAAGTCCCATTAATTTATTTCAGTAAGACATCCAAATTGCTTTAGGCATCTTTCAAAATATCAGCCATAGTTCTATATATACATCTGAGGATTACTTAGCACACATGATAAAAAGATGGTTTAGCATGTAGAAATGATACTAGGAAGGCAGGTGAGAGACAGGTGTGGTGGTCAGGGTCACACATGCATTCCTGTCATTTTTAGGAAAGAAAAGCTAATATCAAAACGTGGAGTATTTTTTCTTCATAGTTTCTAAAGGTAAGAATGCAGAAGATTCTTAGGAATGTAAATTAACAGGCTTTGACCTGGTATTTCTCTAAAACCTAGAGATGTGAAATGCAACTGTTGACTTACTCTTCAGCCAGGTGTGTCAGAGGGGTTGAGGTTTACAGACTGTGGATCAGACCATGGCTGTCCATCCATACCGCAACAGCTCACGCTGGGACTGCTGATGGCCTTGCAGACCACAGCTTTCCGCTGCTTAAGAGGCTTTTGCTGAGAGCTGCTGTGGGTGAGGAAGTGCTTCATGACCTGTTCACCCATCCTCACCACGGTCGTTGGAAGAGGGGAGTCAGGCACTAGAGAATGGGGGAAGCTTCACCAGCTGTCCCAGTGTAAGGTGTCGCCACCTAAGAGCCAGAGACCTGAACAGCGTTCCAGAGGGATTGTACTAGTAGCTTGCCTGAGAGCATACATCATGAAAATGTTAGTGTTAGTGAGATACGAAATTGCAGTTACACAGTGCACCTTTCTGATCGTTTTTCCACTCTTGCTGTGATGACACACGTTAAAAAGCACCTTCGTAAGGAATTACCTTCAAACTATGAAGTCGTTTTGGCAGAGCAGCAAGGGTTTGATATTTACAGAACTGTTGTGCCTTGTGCTGTGGATTAGTCTAAAAAAGATTTTTATAAAGAAAGAGGCCCCATTATTTTTCAGACTTTTTCTATGACTAAAACAGTTACTGAGATTTTGAATTAAACAGCTCCTACCATGTATTTTCTAAGATTACTATTTTTATGAACAAGCTTCAATTCCCTTGAAATTTCTAGCATCTCTATTCTGCCTGCCGCTCTTACTAGTATAAGTGCATCTGTGCATGTGTATCTTGAAGTGTATTTCTTGGAAGTCTATTTCTACCTATCTGCTTGTGTTTAAACACATAACAATGAATCAACACCACTCCCTTCCCCCTCCAGATACTTTAAGCCTTATCTTGCACTAGTTACTCTGGAGATTGCTTTCATCTCTAGCTGTGCTGTTCCTAATGCTTATCCTTTAAGCCTGGCTTTTGACTTTTGCAATGCCACTTAGTGTATATATGTGTGCGCAGGTGCATATGCATAGCTGTATATTTAAAAAATACATACTATGTATGTGTGATGCTGCATAATATAGAAAGTTGGGAGTATTTCTTGCTGCTTGATTAGTCCCAGTGTTGCACCTCTGCCATTAATTATTTGAAGCATTGTCACTGGAGTGAAACCTGGTGGGGTGTCTGATCATTTTAAGTTGAAAAGTACTTTCACCTTCTGGATCCCAAAGGTTGTATCATTGTCTCATCTACTAACCCCAGGTTTATACATTAATACCAGTATTTTCAGCTCCGTTAACCCGGTTTCCCCTCCAAAGCTGTGGAGGAGGCTGCATTAATTGGCAGGATTAATTAGTAGTTTTGGTGAGAAGAATAAATGAGACTGTTGAATTCAGTTTAGTTTAATTCCTTTACAGTCCAGCCACTGCTGTTCTGAAGGTGAATATCCATATGCAGGTTTAATACAATTTAAGTAATCCCTCTAAACTATACCCATTGTTAATGGGGATTAGCTTTCATGTACAGTTAGTTTCTAGAAGAGTATTTATGTACTAAATACAGGTTAATTGACTAAATTTTTAAACAATATATGAGGAACTCTAGGGGAGATAATTTATCTGCTTAGTTTAATGCTGGGAGAGATATTTTTATCTACGTTTCAACCTATATGGCCTATCTTTTTGTAATTTTTTTCTTTCATTTGGATCTAATTTAGTCTAGCTTCTTAAAATACCAGAATTCCATGTATTTGTGGAAGTATTCTGTCATGAAGATGCATGAGAATTTGGTACAAGTTTTTAGAAGGAAGCCTTTCCTAGGGGTGCTGTGTTTTATTTGTGGGTTGATAAATAACCATTTTATGCAAAAGGAATGGATTGGGGAAAATGACAGGACCAGAGCTGATTAAATTTCCTGCAGAGTCTTATTGTCGCCTTGTTATAAAATCCTTGATTATTTGGAATGCTAATGATGACATTTTAAATCTAATTTAATTCTTAAAAGATTTGCAATATTAAAAAAGAAGCAAACAAAACTGGTCCCCTATCCCTCCCCAAAGCAAGCCAAAAACTTCCAGATCATGTATTTGCTGAACAAAATACTCTTTGCAGAATTACAGTGGATTTTTTTAAAGGCACTGTATTTTTCTTGTTTGATCTTTGGAGTAGTTTTTTTCATCTTGTCCTAAATAATCAAAGGGTATCAATGGATACCCTTACCTACTGTGGAAGAGAAAGGTGTGGGGGTTTTTTGTTTTGTTTTGTCAAGAATGGCAGATTTATTTTTAGTAGAGGGTATCTGTGGAGTTTTGATGAACAAGAGCTCCTTTCTTAAATGAAGAGGCTGCTAAAGGCTGCATCTCACCATCAGAAATCCCTAAATGGCAGATTATATCAAATCCAGTAAACTGGCTATTGGAGTTGCTACATGAAACTGATTTCTCTGTATTGCTGTAAACGTCTTCCATCTGAGTGGAAGTGGGTAAGTTCACTTATTTGTGGTGGATTGGTGCAGGACAGTAGGAGAGCAAATCACAGAAAAAGGATTACCAATTACATTGCTTAACTACGGCTATAGTGTTAGACTCAGGTTTTCAACATACTGAGCATTGCAGTTCCAATCTGACAGGTTTTTTTCATTTTATCTTTTTATTAGGTAAGCTGTTGCATTAAAATCACTGGGACTATTCATGCTGTTTAGATTGATTGTATGCTTATGCTTGTTAATGGCTTTGTGGCAGAGTACCTTGCAGGTGGTTTAGCATGCCCTTAAAGGTAATACACTGCTTCATTTTGGGCTCTGTGCACTGCTGCTTGTATTGAGTAGTGACCTCATTGAATGGCTTCATTGAAATCATGATGGCTGCTGACTGTTTGGTGCCCTGACTATACATGGAAATGAAGCTAATCTTTAAAAACTGGTTTTTAACGTGGAAAATTCCTGTGCAGCTAGTCAGGTTAGAGCATATTGTTTATGTTGAGATTAAACCCAATTTGAATTTAGTTGACTTCATACAAAGATGCATTGAATCTCAGATTTACTGGTGTGAATTTACAGGTGTAAAATGCAGTGTAGTGGCCTGCAAACCCTAAACTATTTGAGCTGCATGCTTGGATGAACTATGGGAACTTTGCAATTCCCTTGACACATTTGCCCATAGATAAACAAAAGGAGATGTATCTTCAGGTTCAAAGAAGGATATTGAAGCATTAATAATGGAAAATTGCTGCTCAATAGAAAATCTCTTCTGGTGCATTTTTTAAATATTTTTGCTTCCTTGTAAGAGAAGGAACAAACAATCCACTAACTTTCTGCCAATCTGCTTAATACAGAGGTACCAAAACGTGGCACTTCTGTATGACATTCAATTAGGAGCATTTCCATAAGTTGCTAAGAAAAAGCTCACTTCTGTTCTTCTGTTAAATCTAGACCTCTGAATTTATAAGAGCAATTTAATTTGGATTATCTGATTTCCTTGAGCATTGCATGTAGTGTTCTCCTGGGAATTAGTTCTTCTCTTACAAAATTGCTTTATTCCAGGTGACTGTTCTTGATGTCCATGCTGAACTGTTTTGGAGACTGTCTGTTGCACGGCCTCTCTTGCTCTTCTGCTACCTCTTAGTCCGTAATTGGCTTCATTTTCCTGCCTTTCCGAAAGCTTCTTGCTGCTTTATTCCCTTGGTCACTGCCCTGCTGCGTTACTGGTAAATGTTGTCATGACTCCTGTCTCTTGCAGCTTTGGAGATATGTTGTCCTTTACACTGACTGCATTTGTTGAGCTGATGGATCATGGGATTGTATCGTGGGATACATTCTCTGTGGCATTCATCAAAAAGGTAAATTTGTAATCAATGCTATCTGTTCTATATCAGTTTAAATTTTTGAGGTGAGTTGTGGTTTGTTTGGGTTTTTCTTTTTCCCCAGGTACATTATTTAGATCATTGGTCAAAAGGTACATGAAAGTCGGATTAAAGTGCTATTTCAAACTATGAATGTTTGTAGTTGCAGGATCTGGCCCAACTTCTATGGAAATCAATGGGAGTGAAATGGGATCAACACTGTATTAGGCTTATTACACAAGAAATTGCTTGCTAAATTACAGTGTGACCTCCCTGGGCAGATACCATGCAGTTAAAGCAAAAATTAATATTTTTTGATTTAATGTAAATTAAAATGAGTAATACCATATTTCTTGAAACAAAAACAGTACTGAAGTGTTTCCTCTGGGGGTATGGGAGGGAGAGAAATTAGTTAGTTTACAAATTGAAATTAAGCTGATCTCTACTGAGTTTATCAAGTTGAACTCTGGCCTCCCTGCATCTTGCAGCTGAGGTCTGTGGTTTTGAAACATGTCTTTCCATGATTTGTAGCATTTTTTTTTCTCTTCTTACATGTAGAAGATGCACAAAAGCAGCAGAAACACAGGAGTACTCTTTAACAGATTTAACAGACTTCAGAAAAAAAGTTTTTGTTACTGATTTAACTCTTTTCATTTACTGTGGGGAAAAAAAAACCAACCCACACTTCTTTACAAGGAATTTTCAAACCAGATTGAACTCAGAACTTAAAGTGCATTTGTACAGGTTCAAAAGATATTACAGTTACTTCACTAAAATGATAACAGAAGCAGTAACGGAATGAATATAACCTGAGGCAAATATATCTTTGTTTTAACAGAGTGTGTCAGAGCAGAGACTTTTAATTTAAATTTGGTTAGAAAATTGCTACCACCAAAGGAAAGTACATATTTACTTTTGTTGCCAAAAGAGAAAGAAGAATCAATTATGAAAAGAGCATTAGATATTAAAGCTCAGTTTTGGTCATTAAAAATGATGGATGCTATTTGTAAGAAAAAATTGTGTAATTAATCTGGTTTTTGGAGTGTCTTTTTTTTGCCAATCTTGCAGTCTGGATAGATTATGGTGATGATTATTGTTATCTTTTCATGGCAAAGAAAATGGTACAACTGTTTGTTTTAACTGACTTCATGAGTTACAAAGTCAAGCTCAGAATGCCTTATTTGCTAGCGGAGCCTACTAAGAAGTGTATGAAGAAACTTGCTAAAATGAGTTTAAATCAATCTACTTTGTTAGCGACTCAAAGTGATTGTCTTTGTCTAACCTTATCAACGTCTTTTGCCCTGTGGGTGGTATAGTGACTACAGAAAAAAGTGCTGTGTGCACCCCTGTTAATGGCTCATCTCTTCTGTCTGGCACTTCCATAGGTTTCCCTGGACAGTGACCCAATTTTAAAAACAAAACAAAAGACACAAACAAAAGCATTCTCACAAAGTACCTATGAAAACCAAAACTGGCGGTAAAAACCAAAAGTGAAACTGGTGGACAAGAAAGGCACCAAGGAGAAGAATAGGACAGTTAGAAGAGAAACAGAAGGACAAAGAATGACAGAAATAGAGCAAAGAGGCACCGGTGTGTCCTGATGTGCCCACGCAGTTGGGAGCCGGAACAGCAGAGCCCTCAGTGGGACTCTGCGGGCAAGGGGCAAACCTAAAGGAGCACCTTTGGACCATGTCTCTCTGGTGGCAATCTACAGCTTTATTCTCACTTGCTTCTCTGACCTTGGCTTTTGACAGGCCACTTGAAGTTGCTGATGGGCTTGCTCAAGTGGTTGACAGGATGGGTAAGGGAGCTGATAAATTTCTGCTAGCTGAGGGGGAACTTTGCAATTGAGTGCTGCCCTTTGAAGCTGTCTTTCATGTTAAATGGAAGCCAAACTGGAACGGGGAGGAATTAATCTGAACTTTTTTCTTGATTAGTTTTCTAACTTAAGATGTAGAAGCTGGAGGAGACCTCAAGGGGAACCTCTAACTGCTTCTAATGACTAACTGCTTGGTGTTGGATGCAGTCTCCCTCCCATCCTTCGGGTACATAAAGACTGCTATTCCAACTGCTGCAAATAAGAATTGACACTTTCAAGGAGAGCTTTGTTCCTTATCTTAAGGGAGAATAGCATCATTTGAAAAATCTTCCTTATGATATGCGAGATTCTCTCAAGACCTTTTTCTTGCTTATGACAATGAAGTTTATTTCCAGCTTCCATAGTTGCCTAAAGGATTTGGATGCCCAGTTCTTAGAAAATGTCATAATAATTGGATATGAACATACATTATACAAATTTGGTACTCCCATTTTTAGTCCCTACAGGAGGAGAAATAAAGTTTGTAGTATTGGTTGAGATAGTTAAAAATATCTCTTAGAATTATTTATGTAATTGCTGTTTCATAACTGTGTGATGCAGAGTCTTAACTCTGATGAATTGTTTACTCTGCCTTCTAAAATGTACTGTGCAGGAAAAGGGGGTGGCAGCAGGGAAAGTATCTCTGTGTCTCACAATTGTCAGTTTGTTTTTCTGTAGTCAAGTGCAACTCTAGTTCCTTACTTGCAAATGAGATGCACACTTTAAAATTTTACTATATGTTAGGACTTATCAGAGAACAAAACTTTTGTCAGATCTTTCTGTACATTTCTGACATCAAAATGGTCCAGGCAAATAACTAATGAACATGCCACTGCTCAGAAAATCATGTTTCCTTCACTGTTCTTTCCCTGTGTGGTTTTTGTTGGTGGCACAGTTTGTTAATTTATTTTTTTATTTTATTTTATCTTTTTAATTTTTTTTTTAACTTTTGAATTCTCTCCTGTGCTTTAAGTGATGCTGTAATGGGAAGAGAACTCAGATGATTAGTTTGCTATAGGTTTCTTATCTACCCTCGCTTTACATGTTTAGCTCCTGTTTCAGCAGAGCACTGGGGCTGGACTTGTAAGGGCATTCTGATTCCTAATTTCCCTTGAAATCGATTGGAAGTTAAGCCAATTCTTTTGTATGTGGCTATATATGTCCCGATAGGACTATGCAGATATTAAGGTTACAGGTATTATGCTGAACAAATAGTTTTATCCTTGATGAAACACACCCATGTGAAAGTGGTTTTCATGTGAAAGTGCAATGCAGTGAAGTTGCTTGTTTCTGGAGGAGAGGTTGTATTTCTGTGAACTTGCATTATTTTTATCATCAGAATTTTTGACAAATGAGTGCAGGATTAGTTTTGGATGTTGAAAGCCCTCCTCGCGCGTGGTGCTCAATAAGCAGAGAACAGCAAATAACACAAACTTGAACTCCTATTGATTCTTGTCTCTTTTCAAGAAGGGTCTTTTTTTTCCCACATCTAGAACTTCAAGTATGGTGATGGAATTTCTTTTTAATCTAATTTTGCTCCCTCTGGAACTGGTATGCCTTATTTATCAGGGTAGATAAGCCTATTATTCTGGCCAGACTTCATGCTTTAGCAAGGCGGTTATGAATATACATAGCTTGACATGCAAGTTACCTAGCAGATGCTTTGTATGTATGTTCAGTGTGATATATCATAGCTTTTCAATCACAAACACACAAGCCAGCATCATACCTTGGGTTTGTGTTTATGATTAAAAGATGGTATGGTCCAGGATCAGAAGAATAAATATGTCTAAGGCAGCCTGTCCTAGACTGAGGTTTCAAGTTATCTATACTGTGAGATTTCTGCAGGTCCCCGATACGAATATGTCCCAGTGAAGCATTTACACTGCCACTTGAAATACCATGGGAAGGAGCTGCTGCACCAAGAATAATTCATACGTGTCAGAGCTTCTAAAGAAGATGGTGACAGTAGTCTGACAAGTTGAGACACAGTCTGGACATATTTTATTCTTGCTGCACAATTGATTCACAGATGCCTGATGACTGTGAGGCATCCAGAGCACATTTGGCTGATGGTGTGAGCAGTGCAGAGTTGCTCTGTGCGTACACTGTCCGTATTGTGGGCCTTCTGGACATCTGACAGCTCTGGCTGCAGTGCATCAAAAAACAACTGGATTACCATTGAGAGGTAGGGTAGTACAGTGCTTCTGAGATACAGCTTGTTACTCTAAACAGCACAATGTGCATCATATACTAATGCAAATATTACTTGGGCTCAAGACTTGCAGGCAGCAGATTTTGAAAGTCCAGAGTAGAAAAAGGCTGAGTTGTTTCTTTCCTCCTGTTCTCTATGCATGCAGGGGTTGGGTCTTTTTTTTTTTTTCTTCTTTTTTCTGTAAAGTCAATGTGCATTTCCTGAATTGAGTTATATTCAGGATAGCATGTTGTTATTGTGGTAATGCAAACCAAGTAGCAGAGCAAACAGCAGTGCTGCAATAGGTTACAAGAAGAAAAATCTGTCCTTCTTTCCTTGTACTCTCCAACCAAAGTTGCAGAAAGGGTGTTTTGCTCCTTCAGTACTACTCAAGATGCCACAACTTCAAAACAATGTCATTGTCCACATGTCAATATTTAACTGTGAATTTTACAGGCAGCTAGGCAGCTTTTCCAAGCACAGCGCATGCCTTTCATCCTCCAAAAGGAAAATGATGCTAAGGCCTAAGTAAGCATCTAGAACCAGAAACAGTATAATCACATTAGTGGCTTGTAGCATGAGTACTGAAGAAGCACGTGGACTTGAAGTTTTCTGGAAGGAACGCATCAAACCTGAGACAGGGCCACTGTAGTGTGTTACTTGGCTGTAAAGAGCAAATAACTGTAGTCACACAACATTTCTTCTGTCTGTCTGTGCTTCCTTGGGTACCTTTCAGCTTGACTCTGCCAGTATTGATGTGTTCAAGGAAAACCCGGGCAGTTCTCACTTCCTGCATCAGCAGGAGGCAAGCTTCTTCCCAGGAAGCGGGTCTGTGGTCTGGTCATGTGGAAGAATGCACGTTGCCACATCTTACTGCACAGCTGTGTTGGCTCTGCAGATGTGAGCGTGCAGAGGTCAGACCTGGTTTTAACTAACATGCCATTTGTTTGTGGCAGCTTGCAGTAAAAGTGAAGGTTATTGATGAATGAACACTTAGCAAGACTGGGCTCTAGACAGGGTTATGGAACCAGTTGTGCTGATAAATTATCATGAACAGAAGTTTAATTTGTTACCTGGAGAGAGCTCATTGTTGTTAACAGCAAGGGCGTGTTTTGCCAGGGAGCTAGATGTAAATTTTTCTTTTCAAACATTTGCCTTGAGCCTAGATACTTGTTTAGAGAAAGCTTGCTGCACAGATTTCTACCGGAGAGAATGAGAAATATTCTCCTTTCCAAAGTTTTCCTCACAAAAAATATAACCGTTCTAGTTCTCTAATGTTGATTTATGATGTTCATAATGTAATGTTGAAGCATAGGTTTCGGTGGTATGAATATTGACATAAATGTATGGTGTTTTGTGCCAGCTGAAGAATCTGTGCCACTGTGTCCTTTAAAGGTATCTGCTGTGCCTGGTTATTGGCTTTCAGGTATTCACTGATGTGTGGACAAGACTACTTGTACTCTGATGCCTTTCTGTGAGCCATGTCCACAGTTGTCTCTTCTTCCCTTTCCCTGTTTTCATCACAAGATGTAAATTCTCTAAATGTTTGAATTTGTAGATAGCCAGCTATGTGAACAAATTTGCCTCGGACATCTCTATCTTGCAACGGTCGCTAGCAATCCTGGAATCGATGGTGCTCAATAGCCATGACCTGTACCAAAAGGTGGCACAGGAGATCACAATTGGGCAGCTAATCCCACATCTGCAGGGGTGAGTGTCTTCAACTGCCACCTGATACGGTGGATTTTTTTTTTCTGCCCAGATGAGCACAGCATTTGGAAAAAAGAGTGGTATAAAGACTGGCAACCTCCTGTACGATTCCTGCATCCAGTATAAGTGGCTGGGTGATTTGTAACCAGCTTTCTGGAGTTGCTTGATCATTGATTTTAATATTTTTTTTTTAATTTTTTGTTTTGCACTAAGCTGCCTGTGTAGTTGGAAGTGGGGAATGGAGAGAAGAGCACCCCATAGTAATAAAATGCTTAATGCCATTAACATACAGATGGGATTGTTTTGCTTGCCAGCCTCTGGGAAGTGTGTAAGAAAAAAATTGGTCGACTTTTGCTGAAGGTTTATTTAAAAAGGGAGAGGCTTTTTCTTAAACAGTAACGTGCAGTGGTTAAATGGATGGATACTGCCCCTTGTAGCATAGGGGTAGTGTATTGTGTATAGTGTATAGTTATGCTTGCCTCCCAGCTGGGACATCTTCCACTCACCTGAAAAGCTTTTGATACCAGTGGGTTCATCCCCAGAAGCCTTTAGGGAAGTTTCCTCTTCCTACCTCTAGCTGTTGGGCATTTGGCAGAAGCTGATTGCCTGGGTTCCTGCTATGATCAGTGGAGGGTCAGTGGCACTTCAAGGGTGTGGCTAATTCTACCTTTCTTGAATGCTGAGTCTCCCTCTGGAACATTGTGTCTCAGTAATAGAGACAACCTGGTCATGACCAACTTTGACTGATGACCTAACTTTTACATGGTTAACATTAAGAAGTCCACTTCTACTTGCAGTAATGCAACTGGAAGATCAGTTTCTACAGCTCATGCCTATTCATGTTCTTCTCTCATGTTTATAATTTTGTTACAAACAGGACAGACCAAGAAATCCAGACATATACCATTGCAGTAATAAATGCACTTTTCCTTAAAGCACCGGATGATAAGAGGCAGGTAAGTTGTTGGGTCTTGTATATCTACACATCTGTAGGAAAAGTGTGTCATATTCATACCTGTCCCAGCCACCTTTTTCCTGCAGTTAATTCAAACTGAAACTTGTTCTGTTGTTTCATACTGATATAGTATTCATTTTAATGGAGCTACCTCCATTTCACACCAATATTAGTAGGGATTAAGCATTCTTCTGTGCTTTTGTAGTTCCGTGTAACCTCATATGAACCATATTGACTGTGGCTGGCTCTACTGAACTCTTTGCCAGCACAGCTTGTAAAACTAGGCTATTTTTGGTAAACTGTTCCCCCCCGCCCCGATTTTTTAATAAAAAAATGCATTCCTTTTGAAAATGGAAATGTCTTGCCATGTAAGCATTTCATTACTTTTATAGCATACTATTTTAAGTTAACTTTAGTGCCAGAGATCAGAACTCTCGAAAGTATTTCAAGATTGCTAGTTGCTGTTAAATGAGGATGGAATGAGATGTGTTACAAAATAGAGAAGTCTTATATATGTTTATGAAGTCATTAGCCTGTGTCAAAACAGATTTAGTCATTTATTTATTTAACATTTCTGTCACCAGGAACAGTGATGATGATTCTTGTGGTGGCATACTGCTAGTGTCCAGAAAAAGTTCATTGAGAGCTGCTGATCAGTTCTGACAAGGACTTCCCTTAGATATATTTACATTTTTAAATGCCAGAGATTGTTTAAACAAACATCAAAGCCCTAATGGGTAATTTTTCTTTTTTGCTTCAAAAATATTTTTAAAATTGCAAACGGGAAATTAAAACCATGGTTTAATTTAAAAAAAGAAAAAAAAAAAAGCGCCTTTTTCTCCCACTCCTTTTTTCCTTCTTACTCCAATAGTCTTCAGTTATTAAGGGAAGACGGCACCTAATGAACAAAAATTGGAATAAAACTTTATTTCAATTTTGGCATAGATCTATGATAGGTCCTTGTAAGAAAACCAAAGATTTTGCTTTTTACATTTGTGAATAGTTGCTACTGCTTATGTTTCTGTAAAAAGTATGCTTTAGTCATATTTGAAGTTGAGAGACAGTGTCAGATGTCAATGAGACTTTAATATTAATCAGTGGGCATGTGTTCCTGAAGATAACAATACCACAGGGTATTCCCAGCAAGTAAAACTGTATTTCACCAACAGTGTAACCATCTAGTGAGGCTGGCAGTAAACCATGCAGACTTCACTTCACCTGCAGTACCTGCTGCTGTGACACAAAATTGTTAGTCATGGAGTTTATGATCATCAAAATATAATGATCTGATTTTGCTTGAAGGCTAATAGCTCCGGCACTTGCAGAAAATTTCCTTCAGCCTTTAATAACCTATAATAAGTAGTCAGAATCTGTTAGGTTTCTCTTTATATCTATCTTCTGGTTAATTACTAAACCATACATTGAAGAAGGTAGGTGTCCATTAGCTTCAAGATAGGGATAGCTTCAGTAACTTTTACTGAATTCTGTCTTTCTAAGACAATGAACTGAGGTGATGGAGTCTTATGTAATTATCTGACGGTGGGTACTCAAAAGTTAAGGTTCAGCACGCACCACTTACATGGTTAGGAGTGAGAAACTGCACCAAACCCTGTATGACTCTAGTAGCTTTGGCACCCTCTCTGCTACTGTCTTACGGGAACTGGCATGATGTGGATGACTGCACTGCAGGTAAGAAAATTATTTAAATTGGTGCTGGTATCTGAATTCCTTCCCCTCCTGTTTTGTTTTTTTTGGGGGGGGGGGGGGGGTTTGGGTTTTTTTGGTTTTTTTTTTTTTTTCCTTCTATTTCTGTAATGTAAAAAGCCAAGAGGTTCAAGGTTTTTCTTTTTTAATGAGGACTCTATGGTTGCTTTGCTTCCTCTGCCACTGTCAAGGACCAAATCATCTAGAGAAACCTAGGTTATTTAAAAAAAAAAAGAAAAAAAGTCTTTTTCAGAAAAGAGCTGAGAGTTTGAGCATTGAAATGATAGTGTGAATGTTTGAAACACTTTTTTTGGCAAATGTCTGCATTTTTGCAGAGACATGTTGCTATGGGAAATGAGATGGCAAATTTTGTCAAATAATTTTTGTTCTCATCTGTTACTACAATACTTATTTTAGAAGAGGCAGCCCATCAGCTGCTAATAGCCATATAGCCTTCTTGGAGGCAAAGTTGATTTTGATGCAGTAATTGGTTTTGTGAATGCTTGTTGCTCCTATCAGTTTTTGGTCCAGTGACAAAAAGCAATATCCAAATAACGGATTTTAAAATTATAGGTATATGAAAGAAGTGACAATTTGATAATCCTCTCCAAAAAGTAAAATATAATAATACCCATTTTTTAGCCTTGAATGCAGAAAAGACTACCTTATGTTCTTTACCTGTCCATCTTTTGCCAGTGAATATACTTTGACAAAACGAGCCAGTCTGTTCCCTGTAACATGAAGTATATCATGTGGCTGGCACTCCCCCTGCAGCTCAGTTGTGCATTTCCAAAAGAGAAGAAAGCATCTGTATCATTTATTCCTTTGCTGTTATGTGCAATTGAAACCTGCTCAGCCAGAAAAGGCTTCAAAACTAAAGCTGAGTTGCTTTTGTCTTTGGTCCCTTCTTCCTTCCTTATCATTCCCATGTTCTGTTGCAGCACTTTTTATCTCATATAAAGAAAACAATCAACGTCCATGACTGCCTTTGTTCTTGCAATTAAAATTATTTTCTTTTTGTGAGCAAGTTCTCACCCTAACATTTTATTTACATAGTTTCTGCAGCTATGTTTCAGCAATGCAGTTCTTCATATGTTTTATGTAATAGTTTCAGTTTTCCCGTTTTCCAGTTTCTTGTTTGTTATATAAAAGTAACTGGTATGTACTCTATATTACTCTTCAACTCTCACAAAGATCAGCAGGAATTTTTAAAAATTTATTTCTTCTGAATGTGAACAATATTTTTGATGTGGTGCCAGTGGCACAAGATCACAGTGCATCCTAAGAACGTCCTTAAGCATGTGTCAGCATTGATGTGGTTTGTTGTGCTGTATTATGTAAGGCTGTGATACATGAGCTCTATTTCCAATCGATGATCTACTAAATGCAAACATTACCCCTTTGTGTACATATAAACAGTGTCTAAATAGCAGTGTGCAATATGTTAACCAAATCCTTAAATAGTACATTTTGAAAACAAGAATTTAAAAATAATTACATGATGATAATTGCTCTAAGTTGTATGCATTCCATATGCTAGCATATATCCACGTGAAAATGGGGTATGCACTTGTAGGTATGGTTAAGATTAGGCTCTCATGCTTGCTGAGTATAAAATATTCCCTCCTATGCATTGTGGGACAATTTGCAGCATGGACAGCTGGGATCAGCTGCTTAAAAATGACAGAAAAAGCATATTCTTCTTGGTAGTGACTCAGGCAGGTCTAGAAAGAGAAGTTCGTTTAAGACAAAATAGTGGACCAATGTCAACATTGTTACCAAAATACAGGGGAGAAGTATTATTTACTATGATGAAATAGTACTGAGTTGTAGGCTGATTTACTGAGTGAAAGTTAAAGTACTTGACTTAAGCAGCCAAAATATTAATGTAAATAAGCATGTTGTTTGACGTCTTGTTTTAAAGGCCTCGCTGGCTTCCATTCCATGCTTCCTTCTATGTTGTGTGTAGCAGGCAGGGGGAAGGTTGTGCTTGAGCAACTGTGTGTAAATACTCTAACACACAGAGGACTCTTCTGAGGTCTTTCATTGCTGGTTTTGGATCACCAAAGTCCTCAGCTTGTGACAGACTTTTCCTTTTCTTTGCCTCTTTTCTCATAGTAGAGTAATCTAAGCTTGTGACCCCCAAAATAATGCATAGAATTGTATAGCTGATATGCTGTTTCATTTCATTTATAAGTAACACTGCAGAAACTTAAGACTAAAACCTTTTAAGTCAGTCTTCTAGGTATGGCACTAAAACACCTAGCTTCTGGCTAATTTTTTTATTTTTTTTTTAAACTAAATCAGGAAATGGCAAACATTTTGGCACAAAAACAGCTTCGCTCCATCATCTTAACTGTAAGTATATAGTTTTTCAAAGTTATTTTTCACTAGCAGAGAGAAAAGGTGACTCCAGTTTTGGTGCTCAGAGGTTTGATCTTAATATATTTTAATTGCACTTGTATTTTGATGTTTTGAAGCCTGTAATATACAAGATAAAGGTTTGGTTGTTGAATGGATTCAAAACTGATTATCAGACAGGGTATTTTCCTAGTCAAATAAATTGTGGTTTCTTCATGAAGATATAATACTGAATAAAAGAATAATACCTCAAGCATTTGCTTCCCATGGAGAATGTGAACTTTATTGTGCAGAAGGGTTGTCAGAGGAATATGTAGCAAGTCCTCTGTTATAAGGTTTGGAGCTGATGACAGCTGGGCAAGCAGCACAGAGCTTTACATCTTGCAAAACAAACCTCTGTGTTTTTCGGTTCTACAGTTTATTCTGTCTTGATATAAAGTTGCACACAATTTGTCACCACTTGCACAAAAGAAGCATGAAATGTAGCTCAGAGTAAAGTTAATGAGTGTAATATAAAAGACTTACATTTGCTATCATGGAAAAGCAGAGGGATTTTGCCTTTGACCTTAGAGTAGATTACATCTTCAGGGGAACAAGGGAAGGTGCTCTTTCTCTGTTATGAGATACTAGGCAGTGTAAAACAAACCAAACAACAACCAAACAAGCCCTCACTGTTTCTCATTCATTATCATAATTTCAATTATGCATACAAAAAAAGAGAATTTGTTTCAGAAGGCATATTTTTATACTGCTTGTGTGCATAAGAAATGCTCCAGTGCCTTTTGGCAGACAAGTTCTTTTAGTCTCTGGAACTGTACAATACCCATTGCTGTATCCATCTCCTACTTGATGACACTTTCCTTACGTATGCTCTGCTGTGTTTAGTGACCTGGTTCTCTTTCCCGTATAGAACCACTTGGTATTTTTTGGCACACCAGGGATTTCTGAATTGTCCATCAGTTTGGTATCTGCTTTCTGAATGGGATAATTCTGCATGTATGGGGCATTGTATGCTAATGTATTTCTAAGCAGTCTTCCTCATATAGAACAGAGTTGTCTGGTAGAGGTAGGATTGTGGTGTGATCTTGACTGCTGCAGCAGTAGCCCTGTTCTATCACTGTATTCGCTGGTTGTGTTTGCTGCCTGAATACTTTTCTGCTCAGGCAGCTACTCTTGTAAATATTTTCTTAATATACTTGCTTTTTTTTTTTATACGGAGCTCTAATGCTCTTGGTAAGGAGTTAATAAGTGACTTCCCACTACTGATTTTTTTTTAATGCCATTTCTCAAATATATGCACAGGCTCTATCTAGTGGCTAGAAGGGGAAAGCTTTGGTGCATTGTTATTGTAAAGTCCTGTCCCTTAAAGTTACTTACATAGTACCTAAATCAGTAGCATTAGTCCTGGTTTGATTTTCTTTTTTTCTGGAGTATACATACACTATTGCATAGCGAACATGTACTTACAGAAATGGAAACACCTGATTGCACCTAATGTAATTTTCTGATAAGATGGCATTCACCAGAGTCTCTCTTTCTTTGCAGCATGTTATCAGGGCACAGAGGGCCATCAATAATGAAATGGCACACCAGCTTTATGTTCTGCAAGTACTTACCTTTAACCTTCTGGAAGACAGAATGATGACAAAAATGGATCCACAGGATCAGGTAAGCATCTGGCGTGATCTGGTCGGAACAGGAAGAGAACAACTGCTCATTGCTGTGCCTGAAGGTCTTTATGGAGGAAAAGACACCGCTAGGAATGCTTACACAAGCTGTTTGTTCATTCATTCATTCTATCTCTCTCTCTCTGTGAAGCTGGGTTATGTCTTCTGGTTGTTCGATGATATACTGGCTATTGCTGTCCTTGTGCACAAGTACAACAAAATGGCCCAGCCTTTCTCCTTAGCATGTAGTTCCATGAACTGAATTTGGCGTCATCCTGAGTAAAACTCTGTGCAGCAGTCCAGCATTTGTTTCTTTTGGGTAGTTCTCAGAAGCAACAGAGATGTATGGTCCTTCCTAAAAGTACTTCTGCAGAGCTAAAAAGAATGTTTCAATGAAAACTATCTGGCATGCTAGAGTTGAAGTTAATTTGTGTTACAATAAAATGCATTTTTGTTACTGGGAACCTATATAGTAGTTAATTTGTTTATTGCTGTCTGTGGCCAAACACCAGCTTTGATACTGTTCATTGTGCAAAAAGAGATACGTATTCCCCTAAGAGATTCAAGTTTAAATGTAGAGTCAATAAGCCACAGAGAAGATGTGTTTTGTTTCTTTATTTTTTGTGGCCGCCTTTTAGGCCCTGTACAAGGAGGAACCTGATTTCATTTTTAAGCAGGAGTTGTATTAAGACTTGGGGATAATTTGGAGACGAGGAGGTGCGAGAGCAAGGTGCTTGTAAACATAAGTAACCTCACGCTGTACGATTTTACCCTTCCTGTTTCTTAAGTTTGGGGCAGGAAAGTTTGACTCTCGGGAATGTACACACAGTTAACTAGTGTATATCTTCATAAAGAGTGACTGACACAATGTTAGTATTGATGATAGGGTGGTTATCCCTGTCTTGAGACATTTTTAGCGATGTGTAACTGCAGTAATTCCTCTCTCGCCCATTTCTGTGCTAGCAAAAATGGACAGTTACCAAAAGGAATGCAGAGTGCTGAGCCATTTTTTCAGCCAGCAAAGTGCTTAAGTATCAGCTTAATTTGAAATGTGTGTGATCTTTTGGCTTCTGTGGTTTCAGGTCTGTGATTAAAATTAAGTGTGTAGTTAGTGGCCTTTAACATTGGTCCAGCTTCTGGAAGTTAGCACTTAGGCATCTGCATGTGAACTCCACAAATGTGAGGATCTGGGAAAATGGGGACCACAAAGTTGTTCTTGCTGACTGTCTCTCCAAGTATGAAGTAGGGAATTTAGGTAAAGAAAGGCTGGGCAGTGGAGGGAATACAGTGATTTGAAATAGCTTTTGTGGTATTGATTATTAAAGTAAGAGGTAAGTTATTTTAACCAATTTTTTTAACCTTGTTTTTACATAGGCTCAACGAGATATCATATTTGAACTCCGAAGAATTGCATTTGATGCAGAATCTGAACCTAACAACAGTAGTGGCAGTATTGAGAAACGCAAATCTATGTATACTCGAGACTATAAAAAGCTTGGATTTATTGTGAGTATTTTTGTGTGGTGGTACACTGAAAGTGGGTGAGTGCATCTGTTGTAGTACATTTTACAATCAGTCACTTTTCTTACTTGGTCTTCTGGCTATTTCCTACAAGGGAATAGCTTGCTTTTTTTTTTTTTTTTTGTATTGCAAATCATGTTAACCCGAAGTGACTGCTTTAGCAGAAATTGGGGTTAATTGGAAGAAATAACTACTTGAGGTTGAAGCACATAGTTTTGCATGAAATGCCATAATTAAAATCTAACTTTTAATGATATTTTGGATGAACAGGCATTGTCTAATGGATCTGTGGCAGATCTGTAAAGTCATTGTGCTCTGTTAGTAATAATGTGGACTGATGAGCACAGTAAATACGAGGTAGGACTTTATGGTATTTACTTGTAGGGTCTTGTGCTTTGGTTGCTCGAAGTCCTTTCATCCAATTGGAGTTCTGGTCCTGCCTGAAACTGTGTTGGGGAACAGAACAAGATCTTGCTAAACTGTTGCATACATTTATATTAATGATTAATGTATATTTTCCCCCCTCTGGAAACAGAGCATGCACAAATACGCTGCAATTAGTATCTTGATTTATTGTTTACTCTAGGTTAGTATGCAGTTTTCTTCCTCCTTAGGTAAAATTGTATGCTTCATGTCTTTTGTGATTCATTACTTTGCTGTTGGCCTGGCAAATATACACTGAATATAGTACAGTAGCCACAGTTACAGACAGAGGGGTTTTAAATGCTCTTGGTGCAAGCTGAAGCTTGCTGTCCAGTTTGAGCTCTCTGCTCAGCTCTGTGGTGTAGGGCTCACCATTACCCAGTTCCCTTGTGGTTTTGGGAGGAGGCTTTCTGGATTCTGATAGTTGTTTTCATTACTGATGAGTGAGGAGAAATTACTGCTGTATTAGTGCTGTTGTATTTGTAAGGAGTTGTAAGTAAATAGACAGGAAGGGAGGAACTTGGCATTTTGGGATTGTAAGTAAAACTAATGCTTTGAAGAAGCTTTTGAAGCTTGATGGTTTTTTTTTGTTGTCTGTGAATCTGTTCTCAGTTCCTGTGCAATAGGAGACCATTGCTATACCAGCTTATGAGATTGGTAACTCCTATGGTGAGACAAGTAGAGGACTTTGTGCCCTCAAGGCCAAAACTAAAAGAAAATGCAGGCCCTGGCTTAGAGACAAATGGGCTGGATATAGAGCCTCCAGCTTGTGGTGAATGGGAACAGAAGTGGGGGTCACTGTCATGGGAGGAGGAAAAGTAAGGAGGAAAAGTAATATAGGGATTGTGGCATATGGAGGAATTGAGGAGATCAAATTTAAAACAATCATTCTCTAATGGAGGCTGATCACTCTTGGATATCTGCTGCTCACTCTAGTTTTATGAGGTGTTGAAGGCACTCAGCTCCCACAGTCGTCACTGGCACCAAAGTATCTAGCAGCTCTGAAAATCTGATCTTGCTTTCTTAAAGCTGGAGCTGAAAACCTTAAGTGTGTAATGGAGCATTCAATAGAAGCTGAACTGGGACTAGCGCACAGATCTGAATTCCAGTCCTATTTTTCTGCTGCTTAACAAGGACTAAAGATCATTAGTTGTGCAGGCTAGCACTAGTTCTTCCAATGCTTTTGTTTGTCCCACAGGATATATTTTGATTCTGCAGAGCTGAAATTATTAACAGCAGCATGTTTTAGGTGATAGGGTTGTGAGGAAAACACTTGGTGTGAATCAAAACGTGTTACTGTCTTGTCTGAGTTTGCAGGAACTCTCTTGCTGTGCCTGTGTAGCAGGGACTTACCCATTATCTTCATTACTCTCATTTGGGCTGTTTATTGGGAAGCCTACTGAAAACACTGCAACAGTTGTCAAGGGTAACTGCAGCACTGTTGACTAATTATGATAGCCTTCCACAAGGGAATGGGGAGCAAGAAGTCTAGGAAGGAATGAGAACTGGGATCAAAACAATGAAGAAAATGTGGGAATGGCATAATGGGAGATAAGAAAAAATATGGGGAAGTGAGCTGTGAAAGGAGCACCGCAGGAAAAGCCCAAATGGAAGGCAGGTTGTCCTGCTATAACAGTACGATGAGGCGATGTACAAATAATAAAAATGTCGGTAGTGAACTGTGAGGAGGGTTATTCTGCTCTTGTATGGAAGTTTGACTTTGAGCTAAGAGTACAGTGATGCTGCATGTACAACTTTTCTCACAGCTGAAAAGAAATTTGACCTTCCTCACAGAGCGGGGGAAGGAAGCAGGACCTGTTGTGAAATCTGACTGGTGATTGATCTCCAGCCTCGCATGTAGGCTGTGCTCTGACTGGACTCCAGTTAGCCTGGCTGCCTTCACCCCATCTACTTCTTGTCACTCCATCATTAAAGTGTCTTCAGTGCAGGTAGAGGGATGCATTAGCAAACTGATCTCTGCTCTGAATAACAGGAGGTTTCTTTTTCCCCTGTTTTGGTTGTGTGGCACAAGAAGAAACCCAGCCAAATAGGAGGCTGCCTTTGAATGCTGTCTTCATTTCACTGGTGTCGGTGGTCAGGATACTAATTTCTTGAACTGATTAAACGTTCTTTTCAAGGCGGAGAGTAAAACCATGTTTAGCCATCAAGTTGTTCCTGGACTGCTTGTTCTCTTTCTGTATGTGAAATGCAAGAATCCTGTTCATTTTTTGCAGCCGCATCAAAAAGCTTTGCCCGACTACAAATGTAATGTCAACAAGAGACAAAGTCCAGACATGGTTTCAGATGTTTACAATATCATTTGTAAAACTACGTAGTTAGAAACCTACATCTAGTTAAAGAAACCACAAGACCTCTCCAGATGGTTGTGATGACATGTGAAGTTTATTATGGGCAAAGAGATTTTCAGATGAGACAGTCTTGAGGATTTATTAAAATGCTGACTGTGGTGGGTTGACCCTGGTTGGATGCCAGGTGCCCACCAAAGCTGCTCTATCACTCCCCCTCCTCAGCTGGACGGGGGGGAGAAAATATAACAAAAGGCTCGTGGGTCAAGATAAGGACAGTTTAATAAAGTGATAGCAAAGGTTGTGCGCACGAAAGCAAAGAAAAAAAACAAATGATGTTATTCTCTACTTCCCATCAGCAGGCGATGTCTGGCCGCTTCTCGGGAAGCAGGGCTTCAGTACGCGTAGTGGTTGCTCCGGAAGACAAAATGCCCCCCCTCCATCTCCCTTTACTTAGCTTTTATATCTGAGCTGACGTCATATGGTATGGAATATCTGTTTGGTTAGTTTAGGTTAGCTGTCCTGGTTATGTCCCCTCCCAAGATCTTGCCCTGCCCCAGCCTGCCATTGAGCGGGGGGGGGGGCAAAAATGTTGGAGAGACAGCCTTGATGCTGTGTCAACACTGCTCAGCAGTAGCCAAAACACTGGTGTGTTATCAACACCTTTCTAGCTACTGATGCAGAGCACAGTGCTATGAGGGCTGCTATGGGGAGTATTAACTCCATCTCAGCCAGACCCAATACACTGATGAATACAATAAAAGATGACCCAGTTAGGAGATGTAAGATACTGTCCACCCTATTGAATTATTTTCTGAGTCAATTGCAAATTAAATAGCCTGAATTCCTTCTTTCCTCACCTTTTAAAATCTCTTTTGGCAGAGGAATTCCAACCAATGCTTATTGCTGACAATTCTTGTAGTAGAAGTAGTCTTTTAAACTTTCCAATAGTAATGTAGTTCAGTGTTAGAGATATTTAAAAGATAAAGCCACATATAATGGTAATGATAAAATCCATCCTAAAATTCCTGATCTGTTCAAATGTTTTAGTTTTGTAAAGCTCATTGTATGTGAAACTTCTAAAGTTTTCTTGCATTTGGGTAAACTTAATTTCCATAACTGAGGCAGGCAATAGAATACAACTCAAGAAACTGATATCCTGTATATTTTCATCATAATTCTTTAAACGTCACTAACTGTCATTGAGAAGTTGCAGTGAATGTGTTTGTTTAGAAGCAGATCTGACCAAATTCTAAGAAACTTAAATAGGTTAAATAAATGGAAAAACAAACAAATCTCATCCTAGGACAGTTTTTCTTAAGTTTGCAGTTTGTAGAGCTTCTGGGGGTTTTTGTTTGACTTCTCTTCAGTAAAATAGAAATAGTTTGTATGAGTGCAAAAAGTCAACATGGAAAGTGATTTTGTAATTCTGCCATGCCACACTGGAATTTATTAGTGTAGCAAAATAAAATGTGGGTTAGTACAGGAGATATAAAGTCAGTGAGGAACTGTCTGATAAAAGGTGACAGTTAAAAGGGAAATTAAGTATGGTGGGATGTTCTTCAAAAGTCAGGTGTGGGCTTGACTTTCAAAATATTAGTGGTGGTGACATAAAAGAGTGAATATATGCTGATGAAATCTTCTGGTGAAACAAATTTGGGAGCATCAGTGAAAGAATCACCATGTCATTCACAAATTAGATAACCTTTTGGATTAGAGAAATAGAAATGTAATTTTATTCAATGATACAAAGTGCAATGGTGTTCATTTAGGACCACTGGCAAGAATGTCTTCTGTAGGCAAATATCTAGTCTATGGGAAAAGATAACAGAGATTGTGCAATGTAGACAGAAAGAAAGTCAAATAAGGTAAGCTATATCTGGAAAGATATTTTCAGAGCAGCTAAACTGTTAAGGCTATTTTCTGCATTTCTGAGACATCATCTAGAACACTGTATAATTTTAGTTACCTGTGCAGTGACTTGTGGACTAACTGAATGCAGGATGAGTACAGAGGGTGTGTCTTGTGCAGTGATGAGGGAGATGTCTTACAAGAGTTGACTTAAAAAGCTTGGCTTGTTCAGCCAGCCAAGCTGAAGGATGTGGAAATACCAAGTGTACAAATGGTGAGAGGGAGGAAGCCATATGTAAGCTAAAAAGCAGTGATGGCAATCAAGTTATGGAAAAGATTTTTAATTGAAACAATGGGGACAAAATTTGTTACTAGTTTAAAGATGGAGCTTGATCCTTCATGAAA